CAGTTATTTATAATTCTAATCTTTCTTAAACTGAAGTATTTTCTCTTCATCACTATAATTGTTAATGTTATTATTACTATAGTTTTATCATTATAAATATTATGATTCTTACTGTTGTTAATATTGTCATAATTTTTTTTAATAATACTGTTTTTGTTATACTACTGTTATTGTTGTTTTTATTGTTATTATTATTGTTGTTGTTATTTTTACTGTTACTTTTGATATTATTGTTATTAAAATAGTATAGTTTATGCTTTTTATAATCTTTACTATTATTTTAGTCACTGTTATTACAACTATTATTTTTATTTACTCCTACTTGCAATATAATTATTATTAATAATATTTCAATAATAATAATGTTTTGTCTAATGCCAAAGCCTGCTATTCTCAGATCATGAAATCTCGTATTTCATCACAAAAACTAGGCTTTCGCGACTTCTGGAGAATCTTCAATAGTATCAATAATAAGGGCAAGTCTGTAATTCTACCTCTTTTGTATGGTTCAGACTTTGTCACCTCACCTAAAGACAAAGCTTAATTGTTTGCCAAAAACTTTTCATCTATATCATCTCTTAATGCTACTATTTGCATTCTACCTGATATAGCCGTCAAACAGGTTGATCCATTGCTCGATATTCGTATCACTCCAGCTTCTGCTTCTGTATCAAAAGTGATTTCCCGCTTAGACTCTTCTACAGCTTGCAACCCGGACAACATACCTGTTATAGTCTTGCAGAAGTCTTCTCCAAGGCTGTCGTCTATTCTTTCAAAACTATTTAACAAGTGCTTATCAGAGTCTTGTTTTCCAGCCTGCTGGAAAGCAGCATCTGTTATCCCTATTTTTGAAAATTCTGGAGAGGGATCCGATTCGTCTAACTACTGTCCCATTAGTCTTCTTCCTATCATTAGCAAGGTTTTTATATCTTTAATTAACAAACACTTAATCTCTCATCTCGAATCTCATAACCTACTTTCTGATCATCAATATGGATTTCGATCTTCTCATTCTATGGCTGATTTGCTATCAGTAATAACCGATAGGTTTTATTGCGCATTAGATAAAGGTGGAGAGGTTAAGGCCATCGCTAAACACATTTCTAAAGTGTTTGATAAAGTTGGAATGCTGGTCTTCTCCATAAGCTTTCTTCTTACGGTGCATCTGTAAACATCTTTAGGATTATTGAATCCTTCCTTTCCAATTGTAGTATAAAAGTTGTCCTTGATGGACAGCACTCATCTTCTTATTCTGTAACCTCAGGGGTTCCCCAAGGTTCAATCCTTGCCCCTATACTCTTTTTAATTCACATTAACAATCTTCCAGATTTCTCACATCTAAGGTGGCATTGTTCGCTGATGATACAACCATTTATTCTTATCACGATAAGAAGCCAACTCCCTCTGATTGCTTGCAGGGGGCATCTGAGCTTGAAAAGGATCTAACTTCTGCTACAGCATAAGGCTCACAGTGGCTAGTGAACATTATTTCAGATAAAACTCAATTTTTTTTGGTCAATCGTTATTGCAATAGTTTAGACCTTCCTATATTTATGAACGGTAATGTACTCGATGAGTCTCCTACCCTTCATCTTCTAGGATTAACTCTTACTTCTGATCTTTCTTGGAAACCTTATATCAAATCCATTGCAAAATTAGCATCTGTAAAAGTTGCTTCTCTTTATCGAGCTCGTCACTTTCTTACTCTGGATTCTATTCTCTATCTCTATAAATCTCAAATCCAGCCTTGTATGGAATACTGTTGCCATATCTGGGGCGGATCTTCTAATGATGCCCTTTCTCTTTTAGACAAGGTGCAAAAACGCATTGTAAACATAGTTAGACCTGCTCTTGCAGCCAACCTTCAACCTCTGTCACATTGTTGTAATGTTGCTTCTCTTTCTCTTTTCTACAAACACTATAATGGGCACTGCTCTAAAGAGCTAGTGTCTCTTGTGCCATCTACTAAAATTCATTCTCGTGTTACTCGTCATTCAACAAAGTCTCATCTTTTTTCTGTTACTGTTCCTAAGTGCTCCAAAAACTCTTATTTGTCTAGTTTTTTTCCTCCAACATCAGTTCTTTGGAATTCGCTTCCTTCATCTTGCTTTCATAAAATTTGCAACCTTTTAAGTCGTCTGTCAATCATTATCTTGCTCTACAATCTTCATCTTTTCTCTTCCAGTAACTTCCAACACTAATTAGTGGTTGCTTGCAGCCTTGTTGGAAGCGAAGATAATTAAAAAATAAATAAATAAAATAAAATGATGTTAATAATATTAGCATCATTTTACTAGTATTGAAATTTACAGGTGTTTATTTCAAATTACAACTCATTACTATTTGTAAATAACCTTGATGTGTAAACTTTATTCAGAACATATTTGATTTGATTTATTTTGATCACTGAAAATTTGAAACTTAATGAAAAACAATGAGGCAAAAGCAATTTTATACATTTATGTATATATATATATATATATATATATATATATATATATATATATATATATATATATATATATATATATATATATATATATATATATATATATATATATATATACTTACTAAAGCGTATTTTTATAAGCATTTGCTCACTTTTTTTGCTTACCTTAACCTATACGGCTTTTTTAGAAAAAGAAGAAAAAAAACAAAGAATGATGAATGAAATGATTGCTGCTCCATCCCAAACCCTCAGTCGATGTAGCAGTACTTTAATTATATATATATATATATATATATATATATATATATATATATATATATATATATATATATATACATATATATATATATATATATATATATATATATATATATATATATATATATATATATATATATATATATATATATATATATATATATATATATATATATATATATATATATATATATATATATATATATATATATATATATATATATATATATATATATATATATATATATTTGTATGTATGTATATATGTATATATTTATGTACATAAGTTTTTATGAATGAAAGTTAATAAACAAATTTAACTTTTTAGATTAACTTTACAAATTTTCATTTAGACATTGGAGCCTGAAAGAAAACCATCAGGAATTTAAAGTGTTTGAAAATTTACAAAGTTTGTTATTGAGCTTATTAGAAAAATGCACTTATGCTAGATTTATAAGGACTATTTATTGATCCAAAAATCAGATCAACTTTAGTTGCAGTCAAACTCAAAACAGACAGGCAAAAGAAATTTCTCCAATTAAAATTTATGCAGAGGTTATTTGAAATTCGAAATAGTAAAACAAGTAGTCAAACTGTAAACAGAATTATTAAAGTTCTAGAAATTACCTTTGATTCTCGAATATGGCATGAGCTAAAATATTTTAGATAAAGTCAGATAACAAAATGCATCAAAGATTTTTCTTCTTATTCAGAAAGTATTTAGACATTATGTACAACTTGTTTCCAAAGTTTCTCATATTGTCTATGGTATGGAAGCACGTCAAAACTTATTGTGGATAAAATTCTAATCAGAAAGCAACAAAAGAGTTATATGTTTAAATGTTTATTTGTGTCTAAATAAATTTTTTGTTTTAAGAATTTGAGTTAGTGAATAATTCTTTTAATTATTTGATATTTAAAGTCTTTTTTTATAAAAGTTTATTTATGCAATTTTTCCTATTTTTTCTGTGTGTATAGATTTTCTATGTGTATAGATTGTATAATATGTGTTTCTATGTGTATAGATTGTATAATATAAAATGTGTATAGATTTTCTATATTTATATAAACACAATTTTTCAAAATAAAGAATGATTAATTACCTAATTAATTATGTAAAAAAAAAGAACAAAAACTTTTAATTCTTTAATTTTATGTATTTTATTATAAAGACCAAGGCCAAAACAATCAAGGTCAAGGCCAAAAACTTCAAAGCCAAGCCCAAAAGTTTCAAGGCCAAGGCCTTAGTTTTTGGTCTTAAGGCAAAGTCAAGGCCAAGGACTAACAACTCTGGTCTAAAGAAACCTCTCTATAGAAAATAGTGCAAGTTATTTTAATAGTAAAGCTATACAAATTTTATTGTAGGGTAAAAAATTAATGATAATTCCATTTTTTTTACTTTTAAATTGTATTCTTAACAGTTTAAATACTGTTTGAACAGTTTTACTTCTCTGATTTGCCAAATATTTTAAAGCAACAAAATACTCTTCATCAGAATCGGAACAATCTTAGTCCAAATCCATAAGAAACTGTTAATTTTTGTTAACTTTGATGTTTTTAACTCAAAAACATTTTGTTTTTGACAACCTTTTATGTTATTGATTCGGACAGTAGATTTCCGAAAATAAATTCAGAGCATAGATATCTGCAAAATTCTACGTCGGTAAAAGTTTTATAACATTGAATAAAAAAAACATTTTACGTCTGTAAATTTACGTCTGTAAAAATTTCAGAATAAAAATTCTGCCAGTAGCATTTTATGCTGATAAAAAGTTTTATAACATTGACCCCTGGCTAGTAGTCTCACATTTATGGCAGCCCTAGTTTAGTTACTATGATTTAGCATTACTTCATTATACCAATATATTTCAATAACATACTTAAAATACAATTTTTTTTTTTTTTTTTTTTTTTTTTTAAATTCACCTCCTCAAGGCCAAGAAGGCCACTACAGACGAGGAGGCTACTTATTTGTGGATATAACCCTCTCTCAACTCTATAACTCTGAAACACGAACCTTGACGAACAAGGCCGCTGCGCGGAGAAACGAGTTGAGCGCGGTACTACCAGGGACTACCAGGTACTACCAGGGAATTAAAAAAATACAAACATACAATAACGTAGTAAAAGCATTTTTGATTTAATTTGTTATTTTATAGAAAACATTTTACAAAGAAAATGTCTTAATGCACCATAAAATTATTTAAATCAAGATAATTTTATAAAATTTTAACAACATATAATTTATTTTCTTTATATTTCTTGAATTTTTAAAATTTCTATTGAGTTCTACCTCCCCATATTCCTATCTTTAGCTGGGAAGCATCCAAGTTCTTCACATATTGACCAAGGTATTTGTTCAACAAATCTGCAACAATTGATTCAAAAACCATTGCTTAAGCATTTTTTTTCACTATCCATTTATAATGCAAATTCAATATACCTTTACTAAAAAAAAAATTAGAAGATATAAGTAATTAAAAAAAATGATATTAAACAACTTTACACCCATTCTCACTTATAAATGCATCCTCAAATTTAAAAATACCCAATTCTAATATGAAATGCATTGAACAAGAGCTGGAAGCAGCATATTCATTATTCAATCAATCAACAAATAAAAGTCTTTATATTCAAATAAACAAAAAAATGTTTTAAATTGCTCTTCAGATTGAAAAGGTTGCTCTTTTCTTTTTTTTTTTTGTATGATGGTGAACTTAAACCTAAAAATTTTTGATGTTACCACCTTAAATACTTTTTAATATGTAAATTTTTATAATTAACCTGTGAGACAAAACACCCATTAAGTGTTAATAAATAGATACTCTTGTTTGGTTGTTTTTAATTTTCAGTAAAAAATGTAAACACTATGTTTTTAAATAAAAAAAATCAATTGAGAAGACTGAAAAAAATCTAAAAACCTTCAAAAAGTTTTTTTTAACTGATAGATTGCCTGCCAAAACTAAAACTCTCAGTAATGTAGCACCACTCCTATCTATTTCTTGTTCTACCTATTTTTCAGTAAATGTAGCAGCACTCAGCACATCTTTTATTTATCAGTCAACGTAGCAGTACTTTATGTATGTTCTTTCTATTTGTCAGTCGATGTATATAAATTAAAAAAAAAAAAAAAACATTCACATTGTTTTTATTTTTATTAAAAAAATAAAAATCATTCCAGTCTATCAAGTTGCATTTTTGTGGTTTTTTAAAACAATAAAACTTAATTAGTTTCCTCAACTAAATTTAATGGTTTTTATATAAAGTGTAAAAATATTTAAAGAAAAAGAGTTTTAAAGAACTGTTTTTTTACCATAAAACATACATATATATATATATGTATATATAAATACATATATATATATATATATATATATATATATATATATATATATATATATATATATATATATATATATATATATATATATATATATATATATAATTTTTATGTAAGTTTATATTCATCGTCAAATTTCAAATTTCATGCAATAACCTCTTAGTTTTTAGTTTTTATGACCCTACAAAGTTTACAGCCTCCTTAAATTGAGGGGGGTTAAAACTTTATGTGGTCACTTTATGTGGTCAAATTATTGGATGAAACTTGAAATTTGTTGATGATTATAAACTTAGATAAAAATACTAAAAAAATTATTTTATCAACTTGTTGCTCCCACGTTAAGGGCTGGGTGGGCCCGAAAATTGGGTTTTTTTTGTCCCCAAGCTCCAATCACCACAACTCTTTGCAAACCATTCTCATTTGACATAAGCATGAACATACAAAAGTTTGGAGTTTGCACAATACCTGTAAGTGTCAAAACTCAAATATCTAAAAGTCCAGTGTACATCACTGATATATATATATATATATATATATATATATATATATATATATATATATATATATATATATTTATATATACATATATATATATATATATATATATATATATATATATATATATATATATATATATATATATATATATATATATATATATATATATATATATATATATATATATATATATATACTTATAGTGTAGTCAAAAAAAACTTTTAAGGTAAAAAAAAAAGTCTTTTTTGACTACAACTTTTTTACCTTGTCTCTTAAGCTACATTTTATTGTCGTCAAAATGTCAAAGCAATTAAATTAATGCGGAAGTACATTAAATTTTATTGTTTTTTAAAAAAACCGGAATAATAATGACTAGAAAGTTTTTTTTAATTAGTGGTTTTTTTCATTTTTGCATTATTAAAAAACATTTTTAAAATATGCGTATGTGTTGCTACATCAACTATCTTATAGCCTGCTGCTACAAGGGAGTGTTGCTACATCGATTGACAAATAGCCTGACTCGCAAGGGAGTGCTGCTACATCGACTGACGAATAGCCTGACTCGCAAGGGAGTGCTGCTACATCGACTGAGGGTTTGGTTTGGGCAGGCAGTCTATCATTTAAAAAAAAAAAAAAATTTTTTGAAGTTTTTTAACATTTTCTGGTCAGGCTTATTAACGCGCTCTTTAAAACAACAGTTAATGGGAAAAACTGTGACTACCATGCGAGACTATATATATATATATATATATATATATATATATATATATATATATATATATATATATATATATATATATATATATATATATATATATATATATATATATAATATATATATATATATATATATATATATATATATATATATATATATATACATATATATATATACATATATATATATATATATATATATATATATATATATATATATATATATACATATATATATGTATATATATATATATATATATATATATATATTTATATATATATATATATATATATATATATATATATATATATATATATATATATAAATAAAATATTAGTCAATAAAAAGAACAGATACAGTCATCTACAATTATCCATCATTTGGACAGTCATAATATTCTGTTAATTGAGCCAAAAGTGAGATTTCTTTTGCCACACTAATCAAGCTGTTTTTTTAAATTGGTTCTATAGTTAAACAAAATAATCTCAAAAGTTGGGAGCCTTAACTCTAAAAACATCTGAGTCAGATTGCAATATTTTTTATATCAAAAAAACATTTTTGAACATTTGTTAAAGCAAGATCGTATGTGTACTAATGCTCTTGTGCTAAAACCCTTCCACAGGAAAGCATTATATATACATATACAATGTGATTGGAATAGTCTTACTTTAGCTAGGCTTGAGCACCTGTAAAGCACCTTATTAGCATATTTGTTCAGGTATGTAAATTTTTTATCTCTTTTTTTATATTAATATCATCTGCTCAATCATTTCTCACACAATGACCAAGGTATTTAAAGCTGTCAGCAAATTTCAGATTGCAGCCTGCTACACTCAATTTTGGAAATGACAACAACACATTTTTGATTTTTGTTTAGGGTTAAAAACCATACAAACTGTCTTCTTTGTGTTAAAAGACATATTAATTAATAAGGCCTCAACATTAATTGCATTCAATAATTTTTGTAGAAACAACCAAGATGGAGCTATAAGTACTATGTCATTAGCATAAGCAACAATATTGAGAAAAATCCCTCCTATATTGCAGCCAATACGCTTATTTGAAATTTTAAATACAAGATTACTTATGTAAAATCTAAATAGTAAAGGTGATAAAACCACCTTGTCGCACACCATTTCCTATACTAAAAGCACAAGATCTAGCTTTCTGCCAACTAATACACATTTCCTGGTTGCTGTACCAGAATGCAAGCAGACTTACAATTTTTTTTTTATATTTCTTGATCTAATAGGTTACAGAACAAAAGCCAGAAATCTATAAACGATGTAAAACATGACTACTTCTAGATGTGTAGTAATTAATAGCTTTCTATAAACAACTTGTGCATAAGGTTCTAGAATGCTTCTGCTTATATATTTATAAATGTATATATATATATATATATATATATATATATATATATATATATATATATATATATATATATATATATATATATATATATATATATATATATATATATATATATATATATATATAATGTTAGTGTATTATACAAATAGAGTGCTCTTAGTGTGGTTTATATATATATATATATATATATATATATATATATATATATATATATATATATATATATATATATATAATGTTAGTGTATTATACAAATAGAGTGCTCTTAGTGTGGTTTATATATATATATATATATATATATATATATATATATATATATATATATATATATATATATATATATATATATATATATATATATATATATATATATATATATATATATATATATATATATATATATAAACCCTAAAAAGACTAGATATACAAAGTAAATAATAACTTGAAAATTAGTAAATTTGTAACATTTTTTATGCATTTATTTTATATACAATTTTTTTAAAACAACATAATATAACAGTTAACACCATAATAAATTTTAATACGAAATATATAGACAAATATGGCATATACTTATAAGCAGAATTTATTTATACTATCATTAACCTAAAGTAAAATAAAAGCATCACCTTACTTATATTTAAAAGTGTATAAGTGTATAATAAATAAAAATTTATTAATATATATTGACAACTAATATGTAGGGAAAAATTCAAAAACTAAAAGAACCATTAACATTTTCTACTTTATTATTTATCATTTTCAAAAGCCATTAACTTTTACACAATAAACTTTGTTTAACAAAAGAAGTCTATAACATTTTTACGATATATACTATTATTTTTTTCTATTTTGAGTGTAAATATCACAATTTAAATAAATAAATTTTGATGGTATTTTAATTACTTTTAAATTTATTTTTTTTTTACTTATCATTATTATCATTATTATTGTTTTTATTATTATTTTTATTATTATTATTATTTACAATTTAATATTATTTATATAATATTCCATTGGTTATTATTTATAAATATGCTTTTAAATTAAGACTTGATTCTGAAAAATTTTATAAATTCTGAAAACTAAAACTAACTAATATAACTTCAAATTACATTTATATAGGCTAACAAAACAAATAACGCCTACTATTATTTTCATTACGTTGTTGTTTTCATTACGAAAATTTAATGTTGTTGTTTTTAATTTTTGCAACGTCAGCAAAATGAGCAAATTAAATTAAATTACAATAAATCCGCCACAAGTGAAGAAACTACGCACTCCACGAGATCAAAAATATCTTACAATACAACTTAATAAGGCGATGCATTAAACAATAGTGTTTCGTTTAATATCGTATTAAGAGATAAAGTTGATGCATAATTTGCATCTATTTTCTTAATCTAACCAAATGCATGTAGTTTGTAAATACAAAAATACAAATTGCATAACGATAATATAATATATACCTGTTTTTATTTGTTTTTTTATTTATTTGTTAACGGTTTTTATTTTATTTTTTGTTATTGTTTTTGTTATT